CCAGTGCTTTATTTTTCTGCAGAAAAATGTTCATTTCCTGAGCTCATTGACAGCAGTGAATAAATACATAAATGAATGCCAATTGCAAATACAGTATTGGGAAAGCTTAGAAGTTTCCCAATTGTAATTAATGTTTTTCAGATGATTATCCTTAGCAAGTGTGTGAGAAACTGATAGATGCCATTCATAGGTAAGGTGATAGGGAGAGTGGGGAGTAAAAACAAACAGTCTGTAGGGAATGCCTATGTATTCAGATTGTTAATGTTCCAAGTTGAAGTAGGTGAGTGGTTCTCAGCAATATATTCACTGTTCTTTGAGCTGCTAAAAATGATTAGTGTATCAACAATTTACTGTTTTATTTTTGTTTACTAAAGACAAGTAAAGTAAGCATGGCTAAATTATATTGCTCCCTAGACCATCAAACAAGCTTTCCAATGCAAATTACCCTGTGCAGATTAGCCCAATTCAAAATCCTCCAGAAAACCCACATCAGTTGCAAACTGTATCTGTATATCCCACTTTTATATAATGGAACTGATAGATGCAGGGTTACTCATCCAGGCACTGACCCCAGACCAAGGTCTGTTTAACTTCAGCAAGGTGGCTGCAGTGTGTACCCCCAAGTAATGCTTTTGCTGAAGTCTGTATAAATTGCATTAGCAGAAAATCATTTACTTTGAGATTGCTTTTGTCTTGGTGGTAGACCATGCACTCACTTACAGTGTAGAATAGAGGACTTCTATTCAAAGTGTACCTAAGCCATGACTGTATGCAAATTAGCTTAATTTGCATTGGAAAAAATCCACATTTTTCCTGAATACCTGCATCACCGATTTTCCTTCAACTGTTTATAGCAAGTATAGTTACCAGCTCTTCAGGTAATCCTCTTATTTAACAGAAGGCTGACCCAATTTGTGCCCAATTTCTTTGTTCTAAAGTTAGTAGAACAAACAAGACTATTTATGACTTGAGCCTTCAATCTAAATGTCTGAATTTGCAGCCACATTTTTATCATGACATAAAGTAAACTAATTTCCCAAGTCTTCTCTCTGTGGCATAATATTCTGAATATATTAAGAAACTATATCTCAAAAAGGTGTTTCTGAAGGACTAGAAAAGAACAAGAGGATATGCAAATAAACCATAGAACAATACTGTCATTCCTTGCTTTCTGCAGCCCCTCATGCTTTATGGCATGTTTGATAATGTTCAGCCTCTCTCAAACACACACCTTTCCTCATTTTTACACTGCTCCATTCTGCAACACACTTCCATACTTGCAAAGGAATCCTATGCATGTTTGTTAGCTCTACAGCCCTCAATGGAACTTACTCTCAGGTAAATATATACAGGATTGTAGCCCTAGTCTCTCTCCATTTTATTTTCAGACCTATTATCTCACTATTTACCTGGTGTCTCCACAGCATATCCAATTGACCTTTAAAACATAAACTGTCCCATTAAAAGCCTTAGTGTCTGGAAATTAAAAGAAGTGAATAAATGGAGGGGAGAGACAAAAGAACAAGTAAACAAGCTGGGATCCCCCCATTATTATCCAGCTTCACCCTTAATCCCGTCAAAGAAACAGAAGAACATTAAGATAGATTTGATTAGCTATGGCAGTGCAAGCAGAGAGATGAATTCTGCTGCTCTGTTGAGTTACCATACTGAAAGGTGGTATGCAATTTCTTAATGTCTCCAGTAGTCTATTAGCTGGTTCACAAGGCAGCAATCAGCGATACTTCACCTCATAAATCACATTAAAATAGCTTTTTATTATGGCTTCTTAAAATACCCAGTTTTTCAAAGAAGTGAGATATTTTAACTAAAGCCAGCTTCTATGTATGAAACATACAGCAAATGAAACTGCACATGCTTTGTTTGGAATAATACCTGCAACATGCTATTTCTTAGCAGGGTTTCTTAGCAGGGTTAATCTGTGGCGGGATGTTAACTCCTAAAATATTGTCAGAAAAGATAAGCTGGGGAACAAGAGTGGAGCACAGATTCTAGGTTCAGAATTCACTTTAGTGAGGTCCACTTAATTGTAAAGGAAAACTCAGCCAAGGGGAGAAAATGTGTCTCGCAGAATGTTATGGCTAAAAGATACCAGGGGATAATTTATCCCTCCTGCCCACCCCCCCCACCCCCAGCTGGCAGGAACTCAGTTCAGAGGATATTGCTTATGTTATCCAAAATATAAAACAAGTAAGGTCCACTAAATCAGAAGAAACTTCAAGGATTGCGCTAACTGAAAAAGACCTTAGAGTCAGTTGCTCCTTGTCTATCAAATCTACTTGGCTCCTAAAAGTGAAAGATCATATCCATTCCTCTTGTGGCCATCTCTGATTCTTTAAGGTGGGGACCGCTCCCCCTACTTTTTCTTTTTGCTAGGTATAGGTGACTAAGATGAGATACCATATGAAGTAGTAGAACTTGGTCTTTAAGTGACTGTGGCCCTTTAACTGTTAATAGGAAGACAGCATGTTATCAGTGCCAGAGAGCTCCTGCTTCTGACAAGGAGGTGGATCATGTCCTCCACAGCCAGCAAGTTTCTGTCCTTTCCACTGAATAATACTCCCCCAAGCCAGGAGACAGCTTCAAGTGAGGAAGTACGTAGGGTCAGGCAACAACATTCTTCACCTGAAAACACAATGGCTTGTACTTCCTTTACATTGTTTAAATATAAGAAAAGCAATTCAGTCTTTCCCAGCCAGGTGTCCTCTAGATATGCTGGACTACAACTGCCCATCCCTCAGTCAGCAAGTCTGGCTGGGGATGCTGGGAATTATAGTTCAACACATCTAGAGGGCACCAAGCTGGGGAAGACTGCACTAATTAATTTCAGTAGCTCAAAGAACTTCACAAGATATGCTGACAACCATTCATCCATTTGAACAGAGTTCAACTCTCTTGTACTACATTTGTTTGAGCACCTTCGGTTTCACTGTCATCTTCCATTTCTCACTGAGACTTGTATGCAGTGCAGTGAAACATAAGGATAATTGCATTAAAATATTAATTCCAACTCTGAATCTGCCAAACTTAGGAAATATTGTATTCTCAGTTGGCATCCTTTCATTGTTACTAAGGAACTTTTGAAATGGAACAATTTTTACAAAATAAAGCACAGGAAAACTATTCCATATCATGAAGAAGCATCCAATGACAATTCTTAGCTGGAGTTCAAGATACATAAATGATAGTTGAGACAATTGATTGTGCCTCTTGGAAGGTGGATGGCTTTGGGAGTATCCTACACATTTTCTGTAAGGCAGTTTCCCCAAAGTGTCACCCTCCAAATGTATTGGGCTACAGCTCCCACAATCCACAGTCAGTATCAACCATGTCAGCAGCTCATAGTCCAGTGCATTTGGATGGTACTGGTAGAGAAGGCTGTTCACAGGACATGGATTGTGATATGTTGGAGTCTTAAGCAGTTCTTTTTAGTTTCTTAGAGACTTGTCCTCATACTTTAAAAGCGCAGGGGTCTTCTTAGGTTGGTAAAACTTAATGCTGGTTGCTGTTACTACTGTTTACCTTTACCATGTTAGAAACCCCTTTTCTAGGCATTATCTTATAAAGAGAATAGTGAGCTATAGAGAGGAATAAGTGAGGCTGCAGCAAAATGTTGCACTGTATCCTCATTGGTTGCACTGTGTTTTGAGGGTGGTTTTACTTCCTTAGAGCCTTTTTTTTTTAAATGCTGTTCCTGCAAATGTTAAGGTTCATCAAGTATGCTTGGACTTTCTTCTGGTTTCTCAGTGGTCCTCCTTTTGGCTACAGTCCAGTCAGTGCTCATAATGCATCCACCTTTAAAAGCAAAAAACTCCCTTTGAAGCATTAATGATATAAAACTCTGGGCAAGCTAAGTCTTCACACTCAATTAAAAAAAGAAAATTGTGGTGAAGTCCTTTTATCTTTTCTGTAGCTGAGTAGAATTGTGTACAAACAGTTCTTTGTGGTCTCTGTATGTCACACACATGGGCTCTGTGCCTACATGGAGTCTGGCTCCACCCAGGTGCAGAGCCTGAATGTATGCATGCACAGATGACCATGTGAAGAATGACAGTCACAGGAAAGCAAGCTGACTTACTTACCTTAGGGTGCAGCTGATGTCTGCATTTGACCATTTTGTGTGATGGGATGAAGTATCATGGAAACCTGAGGGAGCTGCTTCTGTTATAATTTACATGGTTGCATCACCAAGGAGGGAGAATGATTCTGGAGTCTTTAACTTTACCAGAGTGTTGCCTCCATTCCCTTTCTCCCACCTTTGCCTCAGCCACAGAATCATCCCTGAATGTGTAAGCAAATTAGACTTCTAATTTGTCCCAAGGACACTGATCTCTTGGTCTGGCAAGCTCTTTGCCTTCTCCTGCACAATGCTTTCTCATCCCTCTTTGAAATAGGAAATGTAATCTTTCCCCAGGTTTCATAAACTGGAGTTCTACCAGCCTTCTGGGGTCTTGTAGAGACATTATTTCTTCCCTTTTCCTCCCTGCAAAAAAACAGATTGATAGTGTTAAGTAACAAACCTTGAGCTTATGTTTGCCTTCTCCCATATCTGTAGACACAGGGAGAATGAACAGCCACTGGCCAGGGGTGCATAACTTGCTCCAGGACCTGCAGCATTTCCAGAAGATGATCAGGCACAACAAGAGATGGAGTGGAAGCACTGAGGGGAGCAGAATGGGCATGTCAGCTATGATGAGGTGCCCAAGTGACACTTGGGGGTGGCTGACCGAGGATCGGCAGTGGTGGAGATGAGCGCTGTTCTGCTCTTCCTCCTCCTGAGGGTGCAGAGGAGGTGTTTCTCCAGGTTTTTATGGAGGCAGAGACAAATTTGAAATACGTGCAACATTTACTTCCTTCTCAAACCTACAGTCATTTTACTGCTTTAGCAGCATTAAGTACATGATATATAATTTGGCATATAAGATTATGTTCTTCGGCATATTTATGAAAATTTTAGAGTAATTTTGTTTAATTTTTTTTAGGGCAAAACCCTCCCAAGGCAGCCTACATAGAAGAATCCTATTTATGTTTACTCAGAAGTAAAGCGTTCTGCGTTTATTGGACCATAGTCCCAGGTAAGAATGAGATTCTAGCCTCCAAAGTACAAATGCCTTAGTTCTTATGCAAATGCTGAATATATACAATAGTAGGAGGAGAACTGCTCATTGAGGACCTTATGTCAACTACATACACCTTAACTTTTCACCATCTGGAAAGCTGCAGAAAATCAAAGTGGAAAATAGGACCTGGAGATGTTTGTAGTAAGCAGTGTTGTGTTGTTTGGACAGAAATGGTACTCATAGTGTAGTGTTGGACTGGGATTTGGGAGATCTGACTTTGCTTGCCTGTGAAGCAAACTGTGTGACTTTCAGATAGTCACTGATTTTCAGCCTAATCTAGTTCACAGGGTTGCTGTGAACAAGGGCAGTGCTAGGTGCCTAAAAGGTCTGTGGCTCAGACCCGGGCAAAGCATGGGTTATGAGAGGAGAAGGGTCATCCCATAGAGCTGTTCCAGAAAACAATTCTTTGAGCCCCTGTTATCCCACTTCACTACCAGCAGGCCATTGCACATAATCTTTTATGACCTTTTTATTTCATCAGTATTTTAATAAGTTTTAATATGGTATTTTTAATATTATATTTTTAACTGCAGCCAGAGTGGGTCAATTTGTTTATGTTGTTGACACTTTGTTATAATTTGTTTATATTGATATTTGTATTTTATTATGTAAGCCGTCCTGAGGCTTTTGCAGTAGGACGGCATATAAATATCACAAATATAAACAAACAAATAAATAATCCAAAATCTACCTTTTGGCACAAGCATTGTCACTTCTTTAAGACTGTAATTGCAAAACAGTGGGGGACACTCCATGCAAGCATAATAACGGCAATAACATTCTAAGCGTCAAACACATAAGCCATTTTTGGAATCCAGGAGCAACCCATTACAAAACAGAGTCGTCTCTGATGAGGATGTTAATGATAATACTGTCTCGAGAGCTCCATGCAAAAGCATTCAAACTGCTGGTAAGCATGACCCAAAGTTTGAGTACCAATATATCCATCTCTTTCAGTGAGCCATGACACTCTCTAAACCTCAACACAACAGCAAGAAGTATACATGACATAGAAAAGAAATCCATTTTATAAATGCCTACTCTGCAGCCAGAATGACTAGATCATTCAATAGTTAAGCATGGCCACAAGTTCTGACTATATCAAAAATCCACCCCATAAGCACAATTTTTGCACTGCAGTATTTTGCCGAAATATTCATCCCCCTCTTACTTTTCCACATTTTTGTAACCTGGAATTAAAATTGTTTCAGTTGGCATTGGTGCCACTTTGATGTTCACATCAGTACTGTGAATATTTTCACTGTGACATAAAAATTAAGCAAACAGAGAACAGATGGCTGTGTAGAGACTCAGGGTTCCCGGCCTAGTATGCATCCCCTCTTGCTATCTCTGGTTTTCAGAGTAAAGGGGAGTAGTATAGGACCATGGAAGCTGCCTTACTTTTTTTACAAGAAGAAAAAAGATGGTGCGTGTGTGTAATAATAAATACTGTTACAATATTAAGGGCCACCTGTATATTTAAATATTATAACATCATTAAAAACATTGAACATTCCAGCAGTGTGTTATCATTCTCTTACATAAAAAGTTCTGTACCATCCATTTTAAGTAAGTAAAACCTTACTTGTTCCAGGAAAAATCATTTCCCCTAAACTTCCATTGAGAGCCCTGTTTGATAAGAATGGAAAACTGTTTTCCCACCAAATGTTCCTGGGCCTTCATATCTCTTTACTTGGTAGTAATCTATACATCTGGAGACATGGTGATAATCTTCCTGAAAGTATATCCCTTTAGATTGTAGATAACACATCATATACTTAAACGTTCTTGTTCTCTTAGAAGGGAGGAGGCGGAGTTGATGATTCCCCCTGTTTCAGTCTTAGGAGAGTACTGAATCATGTAGTACCTGACCTCAAAGAGAGCTCCTTTCCATGCATGACTTTGCACATTATGCTTTGAAGAAGACCTTGAGTCTTAATGAGCTTTTTAAAAAGTATTGCAGTCCACATAGTTGCTAAGGTGTTGTGTTGAGGGGTGCAGGGAGACTACTTTGTCTTCTCAGCCAGACATGTACATGCACAGAGTGGTCTGGGAGGATTAAACAATGCTTGTAACTCTTCCAGTAACTCTGGGTGTCACGTCATCTGCTGGTGTGGAAGGGTCCTATCTAATTGGCTCCTATCTCAGTGACCACTGTGTAAAGAGAATAGTGTCCCGGACCAGATGGACCTTTGCTGTAATACAGCATGGTTCTTATGTTATTGTACGAGAACAGTATTTTTAGAAGTGTAAGTCTCTTCCTTTACTTTTTCCTAGCCAAGGGAAAAAATGCCTGGGTTTTATTTGTAGTTTTAGTTAAACAATAATATCAAATTTGCTGATTCAAGAATACAATTAAGAGATTTTTTGTTGGACTTCTGTCTGTCATTGAAAAGTTCGGCTGATAGAATGTCCTTTCTTTTTTCCTAAATAGATGGGAAAAGCCACCTCAGTTAAAAGCAGAAACTATATTTTAGTAGAGGGAGTATGTATATTCCAAAAGTCCAAAAGTAGATTTCAGTCCATGTCTGGTTCTTGCAGTACCACCATATTGGACATAATGAAAACAGTTCTGTAAAAAGTGATTTGATGCAAAGGCATTATATTCCTAAGTATCCAGTCATAGACTTGTTCTCTGTGATACTAAATTTAGACTTCATTGAAGCAATTTAATCAGATTAAATGTAATATAATCTGACTGCATGCTTGGATGAGTGCATGAGTCATATTTCATATGTTTCAAACTCGATTTGAAAGCTCCAACATGACAAGGGAGGGTGGTTTGAATTTTTGTTTAACACCTGGCTTTTAAGCAAAGCTGTCCTTCTCACCCATTAGAACTGTCATTTTTGGGGAGGCAGACTGAAATGTTGGTTGTTTTCTCTATCTGATGGCTAGTTCAAAAGTCCTGTGCTGTTGCTTCAGTATACTTGTATATCTCACAGTTTGAGTGGGGAGGGAACAGTGAAGGAAACTCATGTTGTTTTTCATCTCCTGCTTTTAAGAATGTTGTTAGTGGCAGCATGACTTTGAGTCATTTTGAGCTGTAACAAACCAACAAAACACACTGCCTGTGAATAGAAAGGCGAATACAGCAGCTGCGCAGGAAATGCAATATCTACAGTGTGGACATGGTTCTGCTTATCCTTGTGTTGCTGCTGTATTTTCCTATTCCTGTAAGCTGTAACTTCAGATGTGTATATATGTGTGAGAGAGTGGAATGTAGAAATGTTGGCGGAATGAGACTGTTATAAGCTGTCAGGGGAAACACACTAGTGGAGAGAGAGGAGATGCTGTTCCACAGCCTGGCAAAGTTTATCTCTGCCTGTAATTACAGATTGAGGTTTAGGAGGGCTTTGTGGCTGCTTTGAGGCTTGTATGTGGTTTTCTCAGTAAACAAGATGATCATACAAGTGACAGACTGCTGCCAAGGTGTGATTTGTAATTCCGTTAAAGCGTTCTGTATACAGTTTGACTGTAAAGAACTGAATTGCCTTGGTTTACCCTTACCATTACCTACAAGCAAGTGAACCAGATTTGTTTTGCTTTTTATTTCTTCCTTCTGCCTAGTTTTAAACCTGCTCTAAGCCTTTTTGCATTTTTAAACCTCCCAGATGCTAAAATGATGAATATTTTCCCATTAATGAAGTGGGCGAAGGTAGAGAGCGCAGAAGGGCAATATATAGTGATACAGTAGAGTGTTGGGTTAAGACTGGGAAGACCCAGATTCAAATTCCTACTTGTTTACGAAACATAATAAGTGATGTAAAAGTAACAGATAGGTTTGTATCCCTTGACAAAGACTTGTCTGGTAGTCAGTTGAAGCAAGTAGTTTGTTTTTTCATTCCCTGGCTTGCTGTTTCCTTCCTCCTCTGCCTGCTTCCTCCCTCTTCCCCAAATGGCATTGCAGGATTGTAGTACTGGCATGCAGAGCCAGTACAACACTGCTCTTGCCCACTCTCTTTGTAGCCTCTCCGAACAACCCATGGTTCTGTATTTGTCTGTAATTACAACTCATGGTTTACTATCCAAAAAGTCAGGCATTTTCTTTCTGGACTGCTTGTGTTAACATCATGATTTGTTACACAGCTGTATTCACATATCACAACCAATATATGATTCAGCAACCCAAATCATGGGTCAGGTTTATATGTGAACTAGGCTGTTGGGTAACCTTGGGCCAGTCACTCTCAGCCCCACCTATTCACAGGTTTGTTGTGATGATAAAATGTGAGGGGGAATTGACGGTGCCATATTTTCTGCCTTGGACTTTTTGGAGGAAGGTTGGAATGAAACATTAATAAGGAAGAGTCAGTATTTTGCCTTTAAGTCTAATTCTGTCTAGCTCAGATATAGAAATTACTGATTTTGACATTATATATATAAAATCTTGAGGCAGTCCAGACTGTAGATGCTATATAGTCTATCTGTTAAGATAGAAAAATTATTTCCATCTCCATTCCCATATGTTTGGGAACAATTCTGTGTTAACCTAGATTCTTCTTTTGTAGTAGTTGCATATCTTATATTTTATCCTCTATAATCAAACAAGTGCCATAGGTAGTTTTCTGCTGTCTTTGTAAGCATACACAGCTAGTCCAGGGCAAGGGTTGACTGACTTGTTTTTTAAATAGCACATGCAGTCTCAACAGTTGAATCCATATAGTGCTCCAGTCTGTTTTTAAGATAGCAAAGTAGGCACATGTTCTCTGAATCTTTTAACCTGTACTCTTGCTTGAGGACATATTAAGTGTTTTGTGTAGGCAAACAAGTCCAAGAGTTTTTGCAAGAATCACCACAGGCAGAAGAAATTATTATCCATCAGCCAGTTAATATTGGTCCACAGGGAAACAACTCATCTACCTCCTGCACACCTCTACTCTAGAGCATTGGTCTCAACAGATGGGTCGGGACCCACTACTGGATCACAGAGCAACACTGCCATCCTACAATTATATGGTAAAAGTTTGGGGTGGGGGACACACACACAAATTCACATTGGGACTAAAGGTAAGACCAGGCTCTGAAAAAGTTAAAACACTACAGCTCTAGAGTACTTTAGTTAGTCCTATAAATACCATGTCATTCTGTATGAGTACTGCCTTTTGAATGAATAATTGTTTTAAATGCCAAAGAGATGTTTAACACATGATGCTTGCCGCATATACACACAAAAAGCATGACATATATCCATTGTAACTTGGGAGATGGATATGTGCCTTTATTTCACAGCATTGGCAGTTGGTCATCACATTTAGAATCCCTCAAATCTCAGTTTGCCATGGCATTCAAATTGGCTAACTGTACTCCTACCAAACCAAGTTTGCAAGTTATACTAGTTTGATATAGTAAACTGCTGGATACTAGTTTGAAGGGATTGCTCAAACCACAGACAGACAGTTCCAATATTGTGGCAAATGATGCTGAGGAAACTAGGATCTCTTCAATACAGGGACTTGTGAGAAGGGAAGGGTAACATAAGAGTTACTTCATCCTCCAGACGATGACCTCCTGACTATAGCCAGTGTGAACACCACAGAAACAACCATTGCAGTCATGTGCCTTATCCACTGTGTGTTTCATTAAACATACCATCATGCACACTCATATCTTGCATCTAATCAGGAACAAGCTAGTATATTCTACCTCCTGGATTTGCACATGCTAAAAGTATTTGCATGTTTAGTAGTCCTTGGAGAACTTGTCTTCCTGGCTTTTTAAAATCCTACAATGACTGCATTTTGCTTCAGCAGTAACATTTGTTGGCTTCCAGCAGACAAGCGCCTCAACTCAAATTGAGAGATTATTGGGAACAACATAAACAGCTGCAATATGTTAATATAGCAAATTCCCTGAAGAGATAATGTTTACTTTATTACAGCTTTTTAAATTTCACTGTTAAAACAGTGGGTAGATGGAACAAGAATTTACATGGTCGGGTTTTCTTTTATTTACTCTTTTTTTATTAATAAGAATAGCTTCACTTACAGCATAATAGGACTGATGCTTTGTTATTCTTGGCTATAGTCAGTGACTCTTGCCATCAGTCTTCCAGTTTTTCCACTAGGGAGTTAGATTATGGCCTTGTAAAATGGAGCACCACTCCTATAATCCCTTAATTAATTACAGTTTTCTCTCTCTCTCTCTCTCTCTCTCTCCCACTGAAAATATCACTTGTGCATCCAGAGGACTTTGATTTATTGCTGCATGATTTTGTTGTACACGACTGTGTATCTGTGGGATCTCTTTATAAATGGGTGCATCTGCTTTGTGGTGTGAAGGGGAACCAAGAATCTAGTATAAGAGCTTCATCTACTTTCATTATAAGGATGAAAGGAAATTGCATTAAATACCAGCAATCTACACCCTACAACCAATTTGAGGACTGAGCTCTGTTAAGCAATATGGAGGGCAGGAAAACTAGAACAGTTTAGGCCAGGGGTCCTCAAACTTTTCCACCAGGGGGCCTGTTGAAAGCTGCCAGTGCTGGGCGCAGGCCAGAAAGGTGGTGCCGGCAGTGTGCAGGCCGGTGCGGGGGCAGCACATGTGGGCGCACGCACTGAGACGGGCGGGGTGTGAGGCGGGGGCAGGCATGCGGCATGAGGCGGACACATGAGGCAGCAACTTGCTCATTTGGAGATCGTTTTCTCTGAGTGCTGCCTCCCCACGCACAGGCCGAGGTGGGCAGTGAAGGGTGTGCCCGTGGGCCCGGGTGCACGCATGGCAGGTCCAAATGGGCATGGCGGGCCAGATAAATGGGCACAGTGGGCCAGATCCAGCCCCGGGCCGTAGTTTGAGGACCCATGGCTTAGGCCATCCTGGCTTTTCCAGCTTTTTCACTTTATTGGAGCATGAACTTTTTGAAACTCCTGAAGCATGTCCCTCCAAATGTCAACAAGTAACTGAATATTTTGGTTGGGCAGGGTGGGGTGGTTGCTTGTGGTGGGGACTGCTGTACAAATGTACCTTGGAAAAAGATCCTTACAGGAAAAACTTGGCAATACCAGTCCTCTGCTCACCACCACCCTTTCACCTTCTATTTTGCACTGCAAAAGATGAAGTATGTCTGTGGTGAGTCTAGGATTGCGCCTCTGGCACAAGCTTGCATGCAGGAACTGCTCATTTTTATCAAACTCTGCCTGGCAAGAATGAGGAGAATTCTCTTTCCCTTTTCTGCCACCTAAAGGGATAGTCCATGCAAATATCTATAGTATTGTTACCGAAGAGAATGGCATTCCTGAAAATTGCTACAGCATCGGTACATTCCCTTTCTGTCTTATTTGGCTTATTTAATAATTTTCTGTCTTCTTTCCCCCCTCTCCTTTTTTGTTGTTGTTGTCATCCTGTGTAGCTCAGCTGTGGAAAAATATGGGAGACGACAGGCCATTTGTGTGCAATGCCCCAGGCTGTGGACAGGTACGTTTACAGTATACTTTATGGCAAGTATGTCGTTGTGAATCAAAGTGGCTGTTTTATCACTAAGGCAAAGAGTTTAAAGCCAGTGCTTTACGTGATCACTGGAGGTAATCAGATCGAAGGATTTGCAGTGTGTAAATCCAGGTTACGAGCAAGTGCAAGGGCTCCAAAGTAATGAAATTTGCCTGGCTTTTGTGCTATATTTGGTGTTCTGCGGATATTCTCTCCACCCTACCCCCTGATAATATCTGTGGGTTTCAGAAGAGGTAAATTCTATCCTCATCTGTAGTTAATATATAATAACACTGCTTATTTTATTTTTTGCCTTGTAAGTCTTATTTAACCAAAGATGAGTTATTGCATCTGTTAACTAATGGACTATACTTTTGAAAAGCAACTTAGAATTACTTTCATTGTATCTATTTATAAAATGCATATATGGTTCCATAACAGTTTACAATAAAATACCATATATACAAACAATCAAATGGCAAACGCCAAGAATAAACCTGCAGCTCAGAAACTGAATTTGATGCTGCTGTGTGAGCCCCTAAATTTCAGGGGTCTGTTGGGAACTCTAGTGATAATACTTTGGGCTCTTTTTGCTAGTTTACACAGCTCAGGGGTTCACATTTTTTCTATCAGTCATATGAATGTGTTCATTTTTAAATGGAGAGATAAACTTTCTTTTTGGTGATGGTTATGGTGGTGAACTTTCTTAGAAGCTTTTGCCATTAGGTAACTTTAGCTGGGTACTAAATACTTTCATGGCATCTTATTGTGTGCGTGGTGGCAGTACCACTCTTGCATACAAATACAAACCCAAAGAATTCAGTTCTGGCTATGTGCTTCAGCTGCTTTGCCCAGACATATTCCTCTATGTAAGTATACCTGTTTGTGTAATGAGGTGGATAATTCACTTAAATAATAAAACAAAATGGTGGATTTTAATATGGGAAAGTGCACAGGTTAAAGCTGTTATCTTATACATACTCACCTAGACATCTCATTGAATCAGTGAGGTTAACTCCTGAGTAAACATAAGCCAGACTGGACTACTTCCATGTGATAAACTGAGTTTATGATGGGTTGAAACTGGTAAGAGGCCAAACTTCTTGCAATATAAAAGTATGCTATAGAATTTGTATTGGACCTTCCTTATGACATATGTTAATATGAACCCTACAATATACTGATCTGTGACAGATAAAAGAAATGAAAAGAATATGAAGCATTTGTGATGACTGGTTTATTTCAAGTCTGAAATAGAGCTCCTCCTTCTCTCCCTCTCTCTCTCCAAACAAAACAAAACAAAAAACCCAAAACAAAACACACACACAAAACACAATTTTCTAAGGAAACCAGTGGAGCATACTTCAGCTTTTTTCTGGCTGAATCATCTTGCAATTTGTATATACTTAACTGTGGGCATACTTGAAACTGACTCTCTTTTTAAAAATCTGAGCGGTCTTATACATTTGATAATTTGTCAGTTGTTGTCAATTGGCAGTTTGTTATTGGTTGACACGAACTTGCTTCCTCTCTTTTTTAAACAAGTTAGTTAGCACCGTGTATTGATACACTCCCCTCTCCCTATTGCTAGGTTCAGGGCAATACAGGGAAAGGGAAAATTCAGGACTACTGCAAGTGTTTCTGCATATCTATTGTGTGTTTATATTTTGTAGAAGAGAGAAATGTTTGTCAATACTTAGTGGGCATGGACACCTGAGGTATGCATCTGTTTCATGGAGCATTTTGCAGCTTTCAGAGAAGTGTTTTTAAAGATGGAGTTGAGAGGTTGCTTCTATTTACCCTTTTCCTTTCTGAAAGTAAGGCGGAAGGAAATTCATTCTGATGTAATTTATGCATATCTATTTTCCTCCAGTTGGAAATTATTTCCTAGGTATGGTATGTTGGGGGCTCAAGAATATACCTATTATTAAAAGACAGAAGTAATTTCATTGTACCCATCTTTTTTTTTTACTTAGACTGAGAGGGATGGACTCTCTTCTGCTGTCACTTAATTGTATGAAATATTTTTTTGGCAACTTAAGACATCAAAAGCACGTCCACTGATGTCCCCAGGGATTCTTTCTTACTAGTATTAAAATTAAGAAGCAAGAAGAAAAAAACGAGCAAGTGAAACAAGTTGCAATGTAAGCTGAAAAGAATCACTGCCAACCCTTTTCAGTTTTGGAAACTGATAACAATGTGAAATGTCCATTCAGTATTCCAATGGCTGGGGTGGGCAGTTAGTTCTTGCTGTTAGCCGATTGCTTTATTCCCAATTCTTTTCCATAATACTCTATTTTTTGTAAAAGTGTTGCTGTTAATTAGAGGTATGATGGTTCAAAACTGATTTCAGTGATCTTCTTATCCCTCCTCCCCATAATCCAAACTACTGGGATTTTAATGGTCCTGTAAACATGTTTTTCGTTGCTAGGTCTTTAATGGCTGTTATTTTTGGATTCTGTACATGATCACTTCCCAGCAGTAAGCTTGGTGTGATACAGCTGAGTTCTAAATGTGCTGCATATACTTCTTTTAAAAAGATTCTGCTGAAGGTCGTTTATCTAGTTTCTTTTCTAAGAGGACAGGTGACAAGTCTTTCCATTCCTCTCCACATTCTCCCCCTCCCTACCTCTACTCTGAACTAGTAGCTCAACAAGAATTTGTCCCTTAAGGAGGGGGAGTGGGGGTAGGGATCTAAGATAGGATTATGTGTAGTCGTGAATTAAATTTATGTGGCTTTTCTTTATAGAACCTGAAGGATCCTATTTTTAAAAAGGGAAAATGCATGGCCTCTATGGTTGCAAAGAAGTAATAATAATGAGCAAGTGTCTGTCTTGAATCAGGTCTGAAGTATTTTAGTTTACACCCCCAGCCTCCTGCTTAAAGCCACATGAAGTATTGATGGATCCAGTTTAATTTAATAAAGAATTCTTGCTTGCTTACAGCACACTCTTATGCATTTTTACTCAAACATAAACCCAACTGATTTCATTGAGGCCTACACCCTAGTAACTGTGTGTAACCCTGCAGCTTTAGAAACTAAATGTGAAGGTCTTTCAAGACACCCATTAACACTGAGCTGCCTAACCAAAGACTACCCCCTCCACATGTGCCATCTAAGTAGTAGAAAGTAGACAGCTATAGGGAGTCCTCTGTGCAATAAGAGAGCTCCTATACAGTGAAAAAAGAATGTTCTTTCAACAGCAGGAAGCAACATAAAAAACAGAAGCTACAGATACTGTCAAGTACTTCTTGAAGAATTAGGAGCCCTTCACATTTCAAACTAGTATTCTTTCTTGTAGCATTTTAAAAAATCTTTCCTCCAAAGATCTAATGGATTTTCCCATTCTAGCTCAAAGGGTACCTTCTAATGGAGCATAGAGCAAAGACTCCTATATAACAAAAATTGCCAATGGCAACCTGAAGTGCTATAACATTTGTCTACCAAGTTTCTCTTTGATTAAACCTAGAAAAAATTGAATGACCTGCTAGTGAATGATCTTGCTTTCTTTTTTCCCCCTACTTAAAAGCCTGTATTGTTGCTTCATTGCTGTGGATGTCCTGCTCCACTCATACTGAATCTACAAACAAACAGAATCTAAAAATCCAATCAAAAATACACTTGGATGAACCATTTTTTCAAACATTGTGCTGGAAGAGACAGCTAGCCAGTATGTTCCAAATTAGAGATTCTCAGATACCAGGTGTTTAAGAATGGAGGAAAACCGGATTACGTGGGCCAAGCAAGCAATAATGAGTTCATGCTCCTGAATAAAGTACAGAAATTTAGCTTGCTGAAAATTCAGTGACATTTGAGATGGTGCCTAGTGCTTGTTGCAAATGTTCTCCCATAGACATCCTCATTTCCATTTGATTCCCACAAGTGAGGGATGGAAGCATGTGATATTTCCAGGAGACAAAATCTTACATATCTTTGCGTCTAAAATGTCATTCATGAGAGCTTCAGGGCAATGTATGTGGTCATCATCTCCACTTTGTATATTTGCAGGTATCCCATGAGCTTTGTGGCTGATTGGTTATTTGAGCCCATTTCTCTTCCCTAGTATTTAGTAATATCACACTGGCACACAGAAGGCTTTCTCAGGAAACTGGGTGCTTGAATCTAGCCAAAGAACAAAATGAATAGAGCCCAAGATTATTGTCCTTCATGGCTTCTTGAGGGCTGCTCAAGCCTTTCACACTGAAGAAACCACACTGAAATGAACCCAGAAGCCCATTGGCTTCACTTCCTGCCCTGGAACAGAATGTCCACCACCAAAAACCGCCCAGGCAAATGCTTGCCCAACTTTGCCTTAAAAATCTCTAAGAAAGGGATTACGTGGTCCCCCTGGGCCAGGGTCATTGCTGTCCTGAGTTATAGCTTGGAAACCGTTTTCTAATATTTAACTTGAACACAGAGTTTCTGGAAAAAAAGAACTTGAGAATGCATGCACATGTGAGTGGGGGAATGGTTTTGTTATTGACCTTTCCTTCCCCAGGTCCCTAACTGTATACAAAGAAATAGAGTCACTCTGCAAGAACTAAATACCTGCTTTTCTGCTCATTGATGTACTTGGATATAACAGGCTTGGATATTTAAAGAAACTGATCTCATCAAAAGGTGATCAAATCATTCTTTCAGTTGCTTTGCACTGGATCATCTTTCTGTTCAGAATAATATAACCATTTAATTGGATGGGTAGAGTTTGCTATTTACCCAATTCTACTTTTTAAGAAAGACAGATTTCATGGTTTCTTATTCAACTCTGCCTGTACAGTTAATGGTGGAGTGTTGTTTATATGAACTTTGATGGGAAAGCTCACTATTGTATATGTAGCTGATACAATACTGTGAACAAAACATAAAATGCTGCAGAGAATAAAATGTTTTGTAAGAAGCAGCTCTAGGTTTTAGCTGAAAGCATCAAGTGTAATTGATCCAAATAGTCCTGTTGGCAAAGGTACTAGGTATCCCTGATGGCTACTTA